GGGAACGAGCCCGACTTACTGCCGGCAAGCGGACCAAGCTCTGACACCGGTCATACAGGGACCTAACGGCCCGTATCAGAGGGCCTGGTATCCCATACTCCCGGGGTACCCCCACAAGGCCCCTCGAGGGATACAGTCAAACGCCTTCTCCAAATCCACCAAACACATGTAGACTGGTTGGGCAAATTCCCATGCACCCGCCAGGATCTCCCTAAGGGTATAGAGCTGGTCCAGCGACCAGGACGAAAACCACATTGCTCCTCCTGAATCTGAGGTTCAACAATCCGACGGATCCTCCTCTCCAGAACCCCTGAATAGACCTTACCAGGAAGGCTCAGGAGTGTGATCCCCCTGTAGTTGGAACCAGGGCCGTGCAGAGACCTTTGACGGGGCGGGTGCTCAAAGTAAAAAAAGGGGCACTTATAGTGCAGTCCAACAAGTTAGAAAATTCAGATAATGAGAAACTTGGGTTCAAACAACATAATAAAAATATATCAATTAGTGTTAATGTCAGTTCATAAATAATATTTTTAGTTTTTTAAGCTGACTTATACCTAGAGATGTTACAACCAAATTTTTGCCCCTGATCCGAGTCCAAGTTGTTTGATTTTTGATTATCTTCCAGTACTGAGTCCTGTTCTGATACCAGGTGGTGATTATAAAAGAAGAAAAAGTCGTCCTTCTGTCTGTATTTGTCATTTTGTTATTTTAGCCTGAAAAGGTCTCTCATTCAGGAAGTATATTTAACAGGAATCAAGATACTTTATTGCTATTGCACAGGTGTACAACCAAAGATATTTTGCGCTTACTAAAGACAGCTTTAGTAAGAGGTAGTAGAATAAATGTAAAATAAATGCAACCACAGAGACTTATCCAGTGTGATCTACAGCTATGTTAGCTGAGATATTTTTCCTGTCAGTAGAAAATTCTTGATCCCATTCCATGTTCTCACTGAACTTACCACTAAACATGAGAGCTCTGCTACCAACCTAACAACAACACCCTTTACACAAAGGCACCATCATCACGTACGTGGCAGGAGTCTCAGAGAAACTTAGAAGAATCTTCTCCAAACACAACATCCCAGTAAACTTTAACCCAAAAACACCCTCAGACAGAACCTGGTCCATCCAGAAGACAAAACACCCAAACAGAAGCTCAGTGGGGTCGTTTATGCAGTCCAGTGTAGCAAGGACTGTCCAGATGTTTACATTAGAGAAACTAAACAATTACACAAGAACATAACACAACACAGGAGAGCCGCCTCTTCAGGTCAAAACTCTGCAGTCCACCTTCACCTGAAGGTCAAGGGACACACCTTTGAAGATGACAAAGTCCACATTCTGGACAGAGAAGATAGATGGAGAGAGGAGTAAAAGCTATCTATGTCAAACGTGAAAACCCCACTTTAAATAGGGGCGGGGCTTAGATTTCACTTTTCCAGTACCAATAATGCAGATTTGGATCTCATTCAGTTTCAGTCTAGGTCACACCTTCCTGCATCTAATCAACACGATGACTCACCACCAATAGAGGCTAACGACTCATCAGGAGATGGAGAGGCGGGGTACTCAGAGTAGTTTCTGCTCTTTAAATAACAACAGACAGCTACAGCTTATAAGCTTGACTCTTACATATTCCAGTTAGAACTGACAAAGCTCCTCATAGGAGAAGTGAAATGTTTTAAAGAAACCAAAGAAGTCCAGCTGCCTTCATTTGAACTCTTTGGAGTAATAGTCAATAATAAAAAATACATAATAAAGTAATAAAATGTATATAATTATGCTCACATTCCCTTTTACCATCTCTTTGTTGAAGGTGGAACATTTATCACGGTTAACCCTCTTATGACCATAAATATAATTGTTTTTTTTTCTTTTGTTTTATGGCTTTAAAATTGTAACAAAAGTGTAAAATGTTTGTAACTCTGCTCCTTTTTTCAGAACAACCTCAGCTTTCAGTGTCTGGTTTGTATTTAGTGTTTATGCTTATTAAAGCCTGTAAAACTGTAGCTTAAATGAAAAAAAAACGGATTTGAATTTTCTTTGCATTTATTACTAAACAGGAACTTCAAAATGACTTGAGCAAACTATGTCAAAAGAACTATTTAAACTCAGAACTGTGTTGCAAACACTCAGAAAAAAGTGTGACCCCTGGCCTCATGTTAACCAGTTTAATGACTGCAGCCTGTCTGTGACCAGAGGTCTATGCTCTGGTCAAGAGAACAGTAAAATAAATATAAAATAACACTCATAGACAGTTACCTAAACAAGAGGGGGTGGAGCCTCAGCCCGACCCGGTCCGAAAAGGTTTTCAGGATTCTCTGGCCCGACCCGAGCCCGACTTTTTTTTAACCAACTAAATGAAAACAAAGTGCGTCAATCCTGACCAAT